CCTTAAATGAAAAGCTCCAGGCAGACATCAAAATCTTTCAGGGGTCAGAAAACAATAGAAGTTCAACGATGAAAAAAATTTCCAATTACCGATGGGGGAAACATGAGGAAATTAAATCTTCTCAAGTACAAAACAAATTTGGGCCCACAAAATAGAGCGAAACCCAAGTCAAAGACCGGTGTGATGTCGGGGATCTCACCTTCAAGGCCCCATAACACGTATCAACGCATCTGCTGAAAAAGAGGTGGTAAGGAACCTTAAAAAACTAGGGGCCAAGCCCTGAGTTTTCGGTCACTTGTTCTTTTAGGCGGGAATTTTTGCTGCCACTAACACACCTTTAAAGGCGGTGAAATTGCCGCCCCTGAAATGTACAGGAACTTTCAGGGCCCGGCAAAACGGGAAAAAAACACCTCTTTTATTGGGAGCGCTTGAGGTTCAAAAAAAACCTTTTTCCCCGGGAAACGCAGGGGGGAGAGATACTGTTTTATAACACCGGGAAAAAATCTGGGGCTAGTCCCGAATTTTGCCACGAAAATCCCCCATTTTCAAAGAAAAAAGACTTGGCAGCGATGCCCCCATCCCCCAATGAAAAGCGGGGGTTTTAACTAGCATTTAAAGAGACCAACAATGTGTCGGGGCCCCCAGATTTCAACTGCCCCCCAGCACAATAAGGGGATTCCCAAAACGACCCCTGGCAGTCTTCAAGCTGGCACTGGACAAGCCCCTAAAGTCATTTCCCGGGATCACCCGGGCTGTGGCTCTTTTTGTTGGTTTGCGGCAGCCAGCAGCAACAGCCTGGTGATCGGGGCTTTTGATCCCCCAGGAGGCCTGGTCTCAGACCGGGCCGGGGGGGCGTTGACCCCGGAACTCTCTCCAGGTAAACTCAGGTTTATATATATATATAATATATATATTATATTATATATATAATTAATAATAATATATATTTATAATATATATATATATATATTTATATTATTATTATATATATATATATATTATATATATTTTATTTATAAATATATAATATAAAATAAACAAGTCGGCCGTCCCCCACCGAGGCGGGGGGCCCAAAAAGAAAGAAAATCCCCAAAAAAGAAAATATTTTCTCATATTAACACTCAAACCCCACCCAAATCACTGTTTTTTTCGAGGTGTCAGAGCACAAAAAAGCTTAGAAGCATTTAAAATATAAAAATACACAACACACGCTCTAATGCCCAAATCGCGAACCCTCCTTTAGGTGCAGGCATGTACTTCAAGTCCGACTATATGAAAATAACCGGTTTCCCTGAATCCCTTCACTAAATATTACTCTGCTCACACTCCAACAGATCGACAGGTCCCAAATACCATTCATCTCCATTCACTCCTATCGAACTCGCTCACGCACGCCTGCTGGAAGTCCAAGCCCCTCGCCCACAAAACCTCCCTTACCTCTTCCTTCCAACCTTTTCGAGGACGACCCCTACCCTGCCTTCCTTTCCCTACAGATTTAAATGCTCTCCATGTCATTTTTCTTTGATCCATTCTCTCTAAATGACCAAACCACCTCAACAACCCCTCTTCAGCCCTCTGACTAATACTTTTATTAACTCCCCACCTTCTCCTAATTTCCACACTCCGAATTTTCTGCATAATATTTACACCACACATTGCCCTTAGACAGGACATCTCCACTGCCTCCAACCGTCTCCTCGCTGCAGCATTTACCACCCAAGCTTCACACCCATATAAGAGTGTCGGTACTACTATACTTTCATACATTCCCTTCTTTGCCTCCATAGATAACGTTTTTTGCCTCCACATATACCTCAATGCACCACTCACCTTATTTCCCTCATCAATTCTATGATTAACCTCATCCTTCATAAATCCATCCGCCGACACGTCAACTCCCGAGTATCTGAAAACATTCACTTCTTCCATACTCCTCCTCCCCAATTTGAAATCCAATTTTTCTTTATCTAAATCATTTGATACCTATCACCTTACTCTTTTTCATGTTCCCATTTTCCCAACTTTCTACCTTTACACACACTCCCAAACTCGTACACTAAACTTTTGCAATTTTTCTTTAGAATCACACCATAACACAGTTTCATCACAAAAAGCAACTGTGTCAATTCCCATTTTGTATTTGATTCCCCATAATTTAATCCCACCCCTCTCCCGAACACCCTAGCATTTACTTCCTTTACAACCCCATCTATAAATATATTAAACAATCATGTTGACATTACACATCCCTGTCTAAGACCTACTTTTACCGGGAAGTAGTCTCCCTCTCTTCTACACACCCTAACCTGAGCCTCACTATCCTCATAAAAACTCTTTACAGCTTTTAGTAACTTTATATATATATATACAGTGGACCCCCCGTAACGATATTTTTTTCACTCCATAAGTATGTTCAGGTGCCAGTACTGACCGAATTTATTCCCATAAGGAATATTGTGAAGTAGATTAGTCCATTTCAGACCCCCAAACATACACGTACAAACGCACTTACATAAATACACTAGCATAATTGGTCGCATTCGGAGGTAATCGTTATGCGGGGGTCCACTGTATATATATATATATCGTGCTGAATAGGTAAATTGGTCAATTAGCAAGAATTCATTTAAAATTAAATCCTTTCCAAAATTTTCTCTTATACGTTTAAAGATATATTTTTTTTATTTATGTTAATGTAAAAATTAATAATTTTGTACCAATGGAATCTTAGAAATTCTACCTAACCTTATTACATCAAGCGCACTATGGAAAATTTTATAGGGTGCTTACCTGTATGTACCTCAACATTAAATACATACCAGTAATCTCATTGGGAGACAACCATATTGTTTACCGTAGTCACCCCGTGTAGACATGTGAGAAAACTTAACCACCCCTGGTCACGGCAGGTGGTCCCTTCGACCTCACAATCTTATCCATATCTATCCGAGACCAGTATGGATTGGATAGCACCCACAAGTACGGTGCTACTAATTAATTGTGGACTGTATAGATTATATTAGTGTAACTGAATGAAGGGGGGGGTAGGTTACACATGGATATATCCATCAAGGAAAACCACTTGTTCATAATCTCTCCACTTACCAGATATTCTCTGGTGGTCACTTGATGTAGCTGGATCACTCACAACCTATCCAATTACAACATACCTAACTGGCCAGTATCAGTCTGCTATAACTAGAAGGGTTACTTAACTGTGGGTGATTGATACTCCTTATTTCCTCCATTCACCATCTCATTTCGATGTTCTGCTACACCAACACGGTTCTCATTCCAGCAAGACGAGGTACCCGTCGGTTTGTCCCGGTTTAGAAGTCGTGCTTCCATAAAGCTTCCCTATCCTCGGTACGAGAATCACACATTCACTCGGAGCAGGGCGATCTATTTCACATCCCGCATTCTCTTAACTCAATGTTATTATCACTGATTACTTTAAAACATTCACAAGACGATTTAACCTCTCATAATTATTATACACATTAGAGGTCACTCCATTAAGATCTGAGGCCGATGAGCGAGGATTAACACACGGGTATTTCCCCTGGACACACACCATGGCCGTGCACCAGTCACACCCCGTCAAACCATTATTCACTAATTTTACCACCCTTTTACGGTGGTCCCGTAAATCACGTTCCCTCACTCTTCACCAGGAACAGTTACGACACTTCCTATTATGAAATGAGGCCTATATTAATCCTTAGGCCGCCGTGAATGCCAATTTCGTGGTTCCATGCTTTCCCAGCCTCCTCACCACATTCAAAACACTCCCGCCACCCCCATGGCCCGAGTCGCCCCAAACCCCCGCACATCCGCGCATGCGCAAAGGGAACTCTTGGTTCTACCCTATTGTCAAATACATTTTTGACTCACATCGACACATCAAACACCTACCAGGCGCCACAGCTTCGGAAAATCAAAAATTTTCCACACGCACTTTAATTTAGCCTAATCCAACTAAATATATTTTAGATAAATTTACAATAATTTAATAAAGAAACACAGTTAAATATATTTTTTTCGTTATGTTCAGAACGATTTTTGCGAAATTATTGCATACACAATTTTTCACTTGCCTAATTCGGCAAGAAGAGCATTGCTATTTAAGCCAAAAAGTAATCTGTAGGTAGCCCTCAACTGGTTTGTTGGTTAATGGGGCTTAAAGCCTGTCGGCTATACTGTGATCATTAAGGTTTTGCGTAATCTTTTCATTACACACGAGTACATTAATTCCTAAAATTGAGATTAAACTCTCAGCATATATGCTCTGCAATACACCTCTCTTTGTATATATCTTGCTTCTAAGTTGTTGTACAGCCCACCTTTATATAGACTTTCCACTACCAAACTAGATTCTTTGCTTATTAGCGAAATTAAAGAACATATTTCTTACCTGACGTGTGCGTTAATGATTGGGTTATTTCCTTGTTTCACTTCAGCAAAGATTTTTATTTTGGTATTGAGTGCACTGACTCCCGTCGGTGGTGAAGGTACCTGTGAAGAAGCTAACTGGTAAGGATATTGATATATCTCAGCATTTTCTATATTAAAGCAAGACAGCATTACGTACTGTAGTGTTATCACCTGTTTGTCATCACTGAGGTTGAAATTATGTGCTGTCTTGCAGTGACAACTATAGTAAACATTTGCAAAGATTCATGCGGTGGGACACCCTTGCAGAATCCTCCAGTAGACCAGCTCCTCCCAAAGAGCACAGTCCCACTGGGACAAACCGATCATATACAAAACGCCAACACAATGCTCACCACCGCTTCAGGAAAGGACAAAGCTCGTTTCCTAGCGGTGAAGGTACCACATTCAGATTTCCTTCTAGCTGGTCCCAATTCCTCCCTGGGCACTCCACTCGACCCACAGGCCATTCGAATTGGTGTTGCTCTTCGCCTAGCCGCCCCATCCTCACCAAACATAGGTGTATCTGCAGCAGGGCGACGGCTGATCAATTCGGACTTCATGGTCTCGTGTGTCATACATCAGAAGGGAAGTACACCAGACATGAGGAGGTCAGTGACATCATAAAGAGCAGCCTCGCCACAGCCCATTGCCCAGCTCAACGGGAACCCCAAGTGCAGAAGTCTGACTGAAGTCAAAAGTGTCCTGATGGAGCCACTATGCTACCCTGGAAGGATGGAAAGCAGATTGCCTGGGACTGCACCTGTGCCGCCACATTGGCAGACACCTACTTGCCATACTCTGTAGCTGAAGAGGGTGGAGCTGCCAGCCACAGGGAGACCCAGAAGACCCGCAAATATGAAGACCTACCACCTTGCTATAACTTCATCCCAATAGGGTCGGAGACCCTTGGAGCATGGGGCAAGTGTGCTGTAAAGTTCCTCAAAGAGCTAGGTGAAAAACTCATCATAGAAACCAAGGACCACAGGGCAGCCAGCTTCCTCTTTCAGAGACTCATTGTTGCGATCCAGAGAGGAAATGCTTGCAGCATTCTGGGCACGCGGCCCACTGCCGGGGAGCTGGACGAAGTATTCGAGATGTAGCTCTGAGTTGTTATCTATGTTGTTTTTCTCCCTATCGTACTTTTGTCAATGTATCTAGTCAATGTGTTTTGTTTTTAAATAAAACATATATGGAATATATAGGGGGTGGTAGGAGAAAATTTTCAAACAGCTTCAGGGAGAACCTTGAGTTTTCTCTGAAGCAAGTTTATTCTGTTCTCTGAAGATGAGGGTCCCCAGGACAGTTCTAGAGGTGGTACCTGGTGGTTAACGCTCTCACTTCACACGGCAAGGGCCTGGGTTCAATTCCCAGCCAGAGTAGAAACATTGGACGTGTTTCTTTCCACCTGTTGTCTATGTTCCCCATCAGTAAAATGGGTACCTGGGTGTTAGTCGACTTGTGTGGGCTGCATCCTGGGACACTGACCTAATTTGCCCGAAATGCGGAGCATAATAAGGGACTTTCTATATAGTAGAATGTCATTGTTGTCAGCTAGGTCTGTATACCTTGTACATGTACTTGTAGTAAATAAAGATATTATTATTATTATTATTATATTTAATTTATGAAGAATATTTTTTTAACACGTCGGGCATTTCCCACCGAGGCAGGGTGACCCAAAAAAAGAAGAAAAACCCGAAAAGAAAGAAAGAACTTTCAGTCGTTCAACACTTTCAACATTACAGGGGTTCGTGGCCTGGTGGTTAATGCTCTCGCTTCACACGGCGAGAGTCTGGGTTCGATTTCCGGCGAGTGTAGAAATATTGGGAGTGTTTCTTTACACCAGTTTATGTTCACCCATCAGTAAAATGGGTACCTGGGTGATAGTCGAGTGGTGTGGGTCGCATCCTGTGCCAAAACTGACCTAATTTGCCCGAATTGCTCTGCATAACAAGAAGCTTTCTATATAGTATTGTCATTGATGTCAGCTAGGACTGTATACCTTGTACATGTACTTGTAGAAATAAAGATATTATTATTATTATCATTATTATTATTATTATTATTATTATTATTATTATTATTATTATTATTACCATCATCATCACTCGTACATAATCATTGTCTTTGCAGAAGCGCTCAGATACGACAATTTAAATGTCCCTCCAAACTGCCAATATTCCAAACCCCTCCTTTAAAGTGCAGGCATTCTACTTCCCATTTTCAAGATTCAAGTCCGGCTAACCGGTTTCCCTGAATCCCTTCACAAAATATTACCCTACTCACACTCCAACAGCTCGGCAAGTCCCAAAAACCATTCGTTTCCATTCACTCCTCTCTAACACGCTCACACATGCCTGCTGCATGTCCAGGCCCCTTGCACACAAAACCTCTTTTAACCCCCCCCCCTCCAGCCTTTCCAGGACGACCCTACACTGCCTTCCTTCCTCTACAGATTATTGCGCTCTCCAAGTCATTCTACTTTGTTCCATTATCTGTAAATGACCAAACCACCTCAACCCCTCTTCAGCCCGAATTCTCTGCATAATATTTACACCACACATTGCCCTTAGACACAACATCTCCACTGCCTACAGCCGCCTCCTCGCTACAGCATTTACAACCCAAGCTTCACACCCATATAAGAGTGTTGGTACTACTATACTTTTCGTACATTCCCTTTGCCTCCATAGATAATGTTTTGTCTCCACATATACCTCAATGCACCACTCAACTTTTTTCCTTCATCAGTTCTATGGTTAACCTCATCCTGATGCTAAATACTATTGTCCTCGAGGATGCGATCCACAACAGTCTCCTAGCACCCAGTTACCCAATTACGAGTGAGCAGGAACATCAGGGAGATTCCCAAACGTCTCACCTAGTTCGTTAATTGAACCCCAGTTCTTTAGGTTATGAGCAATGGTCAGCTTTAGTCTAATAGATGCCATTATGTCATCACTGGCTCATAATTACCAGGGTACCTCTAGAGGCCTCGAGGAAATTTTAGGGGCCTTTCAATGTAAATAATTTAAAGTTCTTTTAAGTACTGTTAGTGGATTATTTTTGATATGATAGTAATTATTTGTACTGTGCTTGCAGGAAAAGTTTTAATTTTGTTGGATAGTTTTATCTTGGGTTTTCTTAGGTGTGGTCACGTTTACTTTTCATTAAAAAGATTGCAGAATAATTTTTTGGGTCAAAGAGCTTTTTAAACCTCTCAACTTCCCTTCTTAATTTCAATCATGAATATCAGTTTCTCAGTATTAATTAATATTTCAAATTAAGTTATCCACAGGAAGATGGTCAGTGTTAATTTTCATCTAAGGTTATTTCTTACCCAGACTCTGGTGGTGATGGGGAGGGTATAGGCGTCTCGTTGACGGGCGGTGACAGACACCTTCACCATTCTTGAAGCATCTCCGTCTAACTTGACTTCCCACTTCCACATTCCAACCTTTTGGTAACATAGGAATATAAATAATGTTGGCAGTTGTTCAATAACTATTCCATCATCTTACCCACATGCACGCCCATGTGAACACAGCCCAGAGCTAAGGGGTATGTCCTACGAAGAGAGGTTAAGGGAAATCGACCTGATGACACTGGAGGACACGAGAGATAGGGGGAACATGATAACAACATACAAAATACTGAGAGGAATTGACAAGGTGGACAAAGACAGGAGGTTCCAGAGATGGGACACAACAACAAAGGGACACAGTTGGAAGTTGAAAACACAGATGAATCACAGGGATGTTAGGAAGTATTTCTTCAGCTACAGAGTTGTCAGAAAGTGGAATAGTTTGAGAAGCGATGTAGTGGAGGCAGGATCCATACATAGCTTTAAGAAGAGGTATGATAAAGCTCACAGTTCAGGGAGAGTGACCTAGTATCGACCAGTGAAGAGGCAGGGCCAGGAGCTAGGACTCGACCCCTGCAACCTCAACTAGGTGAGTACAGCTCCGTGAGTACATGTATATGTACACATACACACACAGAATAAGAAGGCACAGTTGCAAATTAGAAAAAAGGAAAACCTACAAAAGGGTATTAATTATTTTCATAAAGTGAAAAAATGAAATGGATTACAAGTGTAAGTAGTAGGTACAAACACTAATTACAGTGGACCCCCGCCTTACGATATTAATCCGTTCCTGAGAGTTCATCCTAAGAAGAAATTATCGTAAGGCGAATTAATTTTCCCCATAAGAAATAATGGAAATCAAATTAATCCGTGCAAGACACCCCAAAGTATGAAAAAAAAAAATTTAACACATGAAATATTAATTTTAATACACACAAACTGAAGAAGATATGCACAATTACTACTCTACTAAGAATAGAATACATGACACTTACCTTTATTGAAGATCTGGTGATGATTGATGGGATAGGAGGAGGGGAGAGTGTGGAAGTTATTATTTAGAAGGGAAATCCCCTTCCATTAGGACTTGATGTAGCAAGTCCTTTTCCGGGGTTACTTCCCTTCTTCTTTTAATGCCACTAGGACCAGCTTGAGAGTCACTGGACCTCTGTCACACAACAAATCTGTCCATAGAGGTCTGTACCTCCCGTTAGGGTGATTTTCATCCATAAAAGTTTGCACTTCAACCCACTTTGCACACATTTCCTTAATCTTTGAAGTAGGCACAATGGATTCCACAACTGGCATAGGCTTCTCAGAGTTAGCCCCAAACCCTTCAAAATCTTTCTTAATTTCCATACTAATTCTCACCCTTTTTACCACAGGGTTGGCACTAGAAGCTTTCTTGGGGCCCAGGTAACTTATTTTGCAGTTACAAGCACAAAAAACACTGGGATAAGGTAAAATGTACCGAATGTATGCGTGGATGCGACTGCACTGGCTGGCTTGTAAACAGTGGTGCTGAGGCCTCTTACAACACGCATGGCTTACGGAGGAAGAATTCTGTTCCACTTCCCCATGGAGGTATGAGGAAATAAACAAGAACAAGAACTAGAAAGAAAATAGAAGAAAACCCAGAGGGGTGTGTATATATATATGCTTGTACATGTATGTGTAGTGTGCCTAAGTGTAAGTAGAAGTAGCAAGACGTACCTGAAATCTTGCATGTGTATGAGACAGAAAAAGAAGACACCAGCAATCCTACCATCGTGTAAAACAATTACAGGCTTCTGTTTTACACTCACTTGGCAGGACGGTAGTACCTCCCTGGGCGGTTGCTGTCTACCAACCTACTACCTATAATATATATACTGTATTATATATATATATATATAATATATATATATATATATATATATATATATATATATATATATATAATATATATAATGTGCCAAATAGGTAAAACTTGCTATTTTAGCTTAAATAGCAACACTATTCTTGCCGAATAAGGCAAGCAAAAATTTGCATATGCAGTAATTTCTCAAAAATCATTCTGAACCTAACAAAAAAATTATTTCATTGTGTTTGTTTATTATAAAGTTATTGTAAACTTATATAAAATATATTTAGTTGGATTAGGCTAAATTAAATTGCGCTTGTTATAATAAGGTTAGGTAAGTTTTCTAAGGTTCTTTTGGTACAAAAATATTAATTTTTACATTAACATAAATGAAAAAAATATATTTTTAAACGTATAAGAGAAAATTTTAGAAAGGATTTAATTTTAAACGAGTTTTTGCTAATTGACCAGTTTTACCTATTCAGCACGACGTGTGGTGTGTGTGTGTGTGTGTGTGTATATATATATTATATATATATATATATATATATACAGTAGGGCCCTGCTTTACGGCGTTTCACTTTACGGCATTCCGCTAATACGGTCATTTCAAATTATGACCAAAACTCGCTATACGGCTCCCCCACCTGACTTTCTAATACGGTCACCGCGCCCCACCCTGTTTGTTTACATTCTTCGTGAGCTCAGTAAGCACTAAGTCTCTCCATTTTGTCTGGAAACTCCAAAATTTCAAATGTTTTTAAAAGTTATTTCATATTTTATATATACTCTAATAATTATACTTATGTATACCTGTACCTAAATGAACTTACATACTGTGCTGGCATGCAGGTACACATTAAAATCGGTAAGTGTCTTATGTCTCCAGACGTCATATTAGTAATGATAATCATCGAGTCATTTAAGTGTCGTATATTACGTTAATATACACATTTTCATTAATCCATCTATGATATTTTTTTCAAAATTATATAATAAACACGATGCATAACATATAAATAAGATAAATACACCCCACAGTAGAATAAATAAACATAAATGTGAGATGTGGTAGCAGACGCCTTGCACAAGTGACGCCATATTAGAAATAATAATGATGATAAATTAGACACATGTGCAACTCTTGGGTATCTTTGTTGAGGAAACGTTTCGCCACACAGTGGCTTCATCAGTCCATACATAGGAGAAACTTGAAGAACAGGATGAGGGACTGATTACCTCATTCTCCTCCTGTTCTTCAAGTTTCTCCTATGTATGGACTGATGAAGCCACTGTGTGGCGAAACGTTTCCTCAACAAAGATACCCAAGAGTTGCACATGTGTCTAATCTATCAACATGTCGGTTCTCTGAACCATTCATCTAGAAATAATAACAATACTCACCGAGTCTCATTAAATGTCGTATATTACGTTAATATACACATTTTCATTAATCCATCCATGATATTTTTTTCAAAATTATATAATAAACACGATACATAACATAAAAAGATGATAAATACACCCCACAATAGAATAAATAAACATAAATATAAGATGTGGGAGCCAGATAACTTGTACAAGTGACGGCAAGAATAACATTTTCTCTAATCTAACATAAGAGAAAATGTGTTACTGGGGGTAACTGTAGAAAATTATTCCTTTCGTATGTATGTAAGTTTATTCAGGTATACACAAATACAGTTACATAGATTATCATACATAACAACATATGTAGAGAACCTAGGATAACCCAAAAAAGTCAGTGTGACTTACACGTATTTCCATTGCCTTCACTCAGAGCTTCATTTCTTCTCAAAATGGTGTTACATGAGAATGGGAGTGTTCTTCTTTATTAATTCTACCGTATCAATGTAGAGACAACCTGTACACAATGTAACTTGTACACAAACCAGACGTGTACACTTTGTTTACAAAACTTACCTTCGCCTGGTTTGTTTACATAACTCTGCGCCTGTTCCCTCTCATGTACTCATTCTTTCTCTCTCTCATTTATTCGTTTTATCTCATTTACTTACTCCTGACCCTACATTAAGACTACAAATATTTTAAGGTAAGTAATGAGTGAACTGTATATACATTTTTATCGCTCTGGGATGCTTAAATATCATAGAATATATGTGTGGGTGGGTTGGCCTGGTATGGTAGCCTAGCTGACTACCATACATACCACACTTGATTTTTTACAATAAATACTACTCATCTCACCCTATATTTTAAGGTAAGTAATGAGTGAACTGTATATACATTTTATCGCTCTGGGATGCTTAAATATCATAGAATAGTATGTGTGGGTGGGGTGGCCTGGTAAGGTAGCCTGGCTGATTGCCATACATACCACACTTGATTTCTTACAATAAATACTACTTGTCTCACCCTAGATTAAGACTATAAATATTTTAAGGTAAGTAATGAGTGTACTATGTGTGTATTGTACTTTTTTATTGTTTTTTGATGCCTGGTTCTATTGCTAACTTAATATATGTTAGTGTAAACTTGTTATCTAGTGTTTGTATGCATTTATAAGTGGAAAAAAAGGGTGTTCCACTTTACGGCGGTAGCCTGGAACCTAACCTGCCGTATAAGTGGGGCCCTGCTGTGTGTATATATATATATATATATATATATATATATATATATATATATATATATATATATATATATATTTTATATATTATATATATAATATATATATATTATATATATAATATATATATATATTTATATATATAAATGTCGGGGCCGAATAGGCAGAACTTGCGATCTGGTTTAAATAGCAATGCTCCATCTTGCCATATAGGACAAGTGAAAATTTGTGTATGCAATAATTTCGCCAAAATCATTTTGAACCTAACGAAAAAAAATATATTTCACTGTGTTTGTTTAGTATTAAATTACTATAAACAAATCTAAAATATATTTATTGGGTTAGGCTAAAATAAATTGATCTTGTTATAATAAGGTTAGGTAAGTTTTCTAAGATTCTTCTGGTGCAAAATTAAATTTTTTTACGTTAACATTAATGAAAAAAAATATATCTTTAAACGTATAAGAGAAAATTTCAGAAAGGACTTAATCTTAATGAGTTCTTGCTAATTGACCAGTTTTACATATTCAGCACGACATATATATATATATATATATATATATATATATATAATATATTATATTCTTTCAAAAGTACCAGCCGCATCCCACCAAGGCGGGGTGGCCCAAAAGGAAAAACAAAAGCTTCTCCTTTCAAATTTAGTAATATATACAGAGAAGGGTTACTAGCCCCTTGCTCCTGGCATTTTAGTCGCCTCTTACGACACGCATGGCTTTACGGAGGAAGAATTCTGTTCCACTTCCACATGGATATATATATATATATATATATATATATATATAATTTATATATATATATAATATATATATATATATATATTTTATATACATATATATACATTATATATAATGTATATAAACTGCAAAGACGAGACACCCTGAGCAAAGCTTTTTTGTTGTTACTACAAATAGGTAACCATATATACACATTAAACTTCAGACTTGTCTAACAATTGTTGTGAAAACATGGGAAACCTCATTTGTGGTGGGCTATGTGTAGGTATACTGGACTTATTAATAATTAGTTTCATTCTAGTCACCCGAAGCCTATCAGTCTCATTACAAGCCCTGTCAAGGATCTGATGAACACTTTCCTCTACAGGGGACTGTAAGTAAAACAAGTACTCTGGATACTATATGCTTACCAGACTAATGCTAATGTGAGGTCCTTGCTGACACCTGGTTCTTTGTTCATTACCAAGCTAAACGTCCAGCAGACTAGTCGCTGAATAGAGATAAGGAGAGAAATGGATTTTACCTGCCTGCTCAAGTGTTACTTATACCTGAAGATCTGGTGTCTTGGGGTCATGTTGAGGTCAAGGCAGGAAACCCATTAACTTATGTCCTACATAATGATGAGATGTCACCATATTTAAATGTCATCAGTCCTTATAGTCGACACTCAGCACTTGTGCAGGTAATGTCCTCGAAATTAAGCCCACTCTTAGCGTGTGGATTCCGGCTTAAGTCCAGAAAGTCTGTTGAATACTTAAATTAGTCTTGGTACTTAATTCAGTGACCCGGAGAGGCTTGGAACACATAAACAGAGGTTTATCTGCTACCTGAAGGTGCCGCATACTCTCTCCATACGTTAGGGAGCAATACTAAATCAGGATCCCTAATCAACGAATCACGAATGCCCATTGTTCTGTCCACTATGGATCTTCACAAAAGACAGAGTCCTCCAGGCATTTAAACAGCCTGACCTACACAGGCCGGCTTTGTCCTGGGGCACTGTTACCAGCCCTGGTAACTGCCCCAGGGCACTCTTGAACGTCAGTTAATATGACATTCATAAAACTCATTAGTATTCTGAGAGCTAGTAACAAGTGGATCTCATTTTCTCATGTTGCAAGTGCCACCTGCCAGGCAGGCAGGTGTAGTAATTGGCACTATAGTATGGTGGGAAAGAACGTTGTACCCTCCCTCCACGTGCCAGGGAGGGGAGGGGAGTTAATGGTCACACAGACCACTGGGTCACGTAGACTAAACAGAGGGTGAAGGTTATTACTGCACTATCTCTAGAATATTCTAACATACGGGGATTCAAAAAATCCCACACCATTAGAGAAAAAATATGTAAAAGCATCTGGAGATCACAACTTGCTATTACCGTGACCCATTTTCCCATGTCAGTCTGATATCTTTGTTTGGCACCCCAATACGCATCTTGGCGACAGTCAAAAGATTACAGAGGAGCATAATTTGCCCAGGAACTGAGCGCCAACATGTTTCCTAGGTATGTTACAGTGGTAAATAACTATTTTCAAATTTTATTGAATATAGAACAATAGTAATGAGTCTACACGATCATGAATTCTGTCACAGAACATTACAATGTCTCTTAATTCATGAATTTTGAAGTGTTCCAGCAAAGAATGATACAGGATATAACAGTTCCTCTGACAAACGTTTTTACTACGCCTCAAGATTACGGGTAGTGATTGTATCACTAACATATGAATGCTTATTTTGTATTTTTTGTTGCCTCATTTTATTGGTGGTTCCCCGTTTTCTGCTCGGGTATGAAGATATTCTTGCCTTTACGTAAGGAGAACGAGGAATACCTAAGTCCACTGTCTACAGTCCTACCGTATTTGTTTGGCTACTTTGGGGCTCAGTCCTCTGACACATTATGTGCCTGTATAATCTTTTGACTCACACCCACAAGATGGCTATGTGGTGCATCATAAAGCAATTAAACAACATCAAGAATAAAGAGCGTATTCCAATTATTATCCCAGAGGATAACCCAATAAAAGCCAGTCATTGTGATTTATTTCCACTGGGATCATTTGGTACTCTTCCAGGATGCGACCCACAATAGTCGCTTAACATTGATTAGTACTATATTCACAAAGAAGTAAGGATCATACAACACTAATTAACTCTACAATCAACAAAACACTAGGGTACCCACTTACTGGTGGGTGAAAAGGAACAAAAAGGAGGAAGGAAACATGTCGAGAGTTTCTACTCGTCTCAGATTCCAACCAGGATCCTTCAGTTGTGAACCGACGGTGCTACCACGTAAGTCATTGACTGGTGTTAGTGTACGATATAACTGGTTAAAATTTGGTTTAAAATTCCCCTTAGCGAATTTCCAAAGGTACATATAAATCGTATACTTTAAGTGGCATAAGCAAAAGTAGCTAATGTGAAAAATGTCAGAGACTGAACAAAGATTCGTTTAGAACGTTATACACGAAGTACGTTAAACCCATCTTGGAGTATGCAGCGCCAACTTGGAGCCCACACCTGATCAAGTATATAAACTAGAAGGGATCCAAAGGTGTGCACAGAGACTGGTGCTGTAAATGGGGAGGGGGGGGGGGGGGAGAGATGGACTTCAAAGACAGCCTTAAGGAACGTTAGGGAGATTTTTTTTTTTTTTGCTTGGGGTGGAAAAGTGGCATGCACTGATGAAAATGAAATTTGAAGACAAACACAATGCGCAGTTGCAAGAGTAGATATGATTAAGCGCAGGAGTTTAGATAGAGGATGATAAGAGTTAAAGAGAAAAAACTAAGAATTACCCCTAGAAACAAATAGGAGAGTTATAAATTGGATTAAAAGTCATGGCTAGCCAGACGCTTCAAAATAAGGATACCCAAATGTTGCACAGTTGTCTCATTTATCAACCTGTAGGTCTGGTTTTCTGAACCATTTATGGGAAATTTAAAACGCTTGTTTTTGGTTATAAAAATAATAAACCCATTTATTCAAACACACGTACACCATGCACACAGGGCAAGACACATCACGTACGTCTGCCAGTGGAATAATGATGGTCCACAGGAAATGATATCATCATAATCTTTGGCATAAATAATATTGCATAAGGGTCTGTCAGGCGAGGTGCTTTCTTTAGTGATCCTTTTTGTCTGTCTGAGGCGGAAGACGAGATTCTTTCCACGCTGTTGTCTACACTAAAATAATTTTCCACTGCATAATCTCGAAGGGCTTAATCTCTGGCGATTCATAGATCTGAAATATTAAATTTTGGGCAGGACCATTAGAATGTTTAACGTGGAAAACTAGGTACAATTTGAAATTCAGTGGGCATGAGGGAAAGATTTCACAAACGAGAACTGAGTTAAAATATTTATGTAACATGGCATTTCCCTAATTAGCTTTGATGACATTAAAATCAGAGCTTACAAAAGTGATTTTTTAGTTAACACAGTCTAGTTTGGTCATGGTTTACTGGAAGAATGACATGAGGATTTTTTAAATGTGGATAATAGTGTTTTTATTAATGAATGGAGGGTGTGGCGAAATGTATAAATGGGAATATGAATAAATAAAGAGGATATGGATAGAGTGTTGAAATATATCTGCCCAAGACAGCAAACAATGGATTTAGAAAGGAGATAGGAAATTTGGTGGTTTAACAACAGATGTTTATGTGAAATTTACTGCCTAGTAGTGTTACTGAACAACTTGTAAACCAAGCGAAACGCTGTCATTAAAAGTTATCTTATAATGTCTGTTTGTAACCCCCAAAAACCCCGAGGGTTTATTAGCCAGCAGCTCGGTGTTAAATATTAGGAATTGTTGAACATATGTCACAATACAGTGGATGGAACAATTCACACACAAACCCACACTTAAGAAACTTACGACTATGTTTCGGTACTCCTGGGACGTTTCGGTCCAGGACGGACCGAAACGTGTCGTAAGTATCTTCTCTTTAGTATGGGTTATTTGTGAGCTACGGGTTTAAGTTTTTAAATCATCTGCGAGGGGAATAAAAAAGGGACACGAGAAAAGCTGGAGATTGGAATAAAAGGCAAGTGTTTAAATTATTATTGTACATTCATGGGAGGGATGTTGATCCCGTGGGGTCATAAGGGCCTTGAAGAATGGAAAGGGAAAATCAGACATTAAAGGAACGGGAAATGCAGGTTAGTTCCTTAAAAAGTGTTCAGATACTTTGTTAAATATGAAATAGTCATTTTAAGAGTTTCAAAACGATTTTGTGAAACAAGAAGCGGTTTTTCCGGTCATCTTCCTCGGGGACACGGAAAAGCAATATCAGGGGAAACAGTTGTAGAAAAAAATCTTGATTCTGTAGAATGATGACTCCCGACTTTAAAAATTGTCGGCACCATTCTTTAAATAAAATCAGTTTTTAAAAAAAAAAACAGTACTGAAATTAATGAAACACAAAAAAAGGAAATTCTGCACTATATTATTATTATTATTATTATTATTATTTTATTTTTTTCAAAAATATATAAGTAAAAAAACGATGATCTGGAGTTTTTCCGCCTTATATTTTTAAAAATTTCAGTTTAGGTTTTTTTTACAGTTGAGATATTTTGTTTTGTAAAGGTTAAAAGAGCAACGTAATAATCTAAAAACCCCCAACCCAACCCCAAACCCTAACCCAAATTTAAAACGTAACATAACATTGGTCTACATGCGTTTTTTTACTTCTGCATGGCGCGTGACACGACCATTGCTTTTATCTCCCAAAAAAGCAATTTGCACAATTTATTTTTTTTCTCCCTTTTAGGGGTAAAAATGGTTCAACCATTCCAAAATTTTTTAAAAGGGGTGGCCCGGTAAGAAGAGAAGGCCCCTCGGTCAGAGCCCAAAGCTCAGCGGAGGGTCATTACCGGGGTTTACCGGAGAGAGTTCCGGAGGTCAACCCCCCCGCGGCCGGTCGTGACCGGGCCTCTGGTGGATCAGACCCCTGATCAACCGGCTGTTACTTTTGGGCTGCCGCAACCAAAAGAAAGAGCCACAGCCGGTGGTCGGGAAAATTTAGGTGCTTGTCCAGTCCCAGTTGAAGACTGCCAGGGGTCTTTTGGTAATCCCTTATGATGTGGGGGCAGTTGAACGTCTCGGCCCCCTGACCTTACTGTATGGTTCTTAACGTGCTAGTAAATTATCTAAACCCCCGGTCAGAAAATTGCCCTTTTTTCGACGAACCTTACCTAACCTAACCTAATACTTATTTGGTGTTTGTAAAAATGTTGTATGTTGTAAAATGTACATAATGCCAGAGACCCACCCAAATTCTGTCACAACCGCATCCCTCCCCCCCCCCAATCCCCCAAAACCAATGTCAGTAACCTGACGCAGTGGTCGGGGAGGTTTTGTTGTGTCTTGTTGACCCCGCTGGGAAATTATGGTTTAGATGGCAGTTTGTCATCGCAGAGCGTTAATACTTTGGTATTGAAATTTCGAGGTGCGATTACATTGTTCACCCAAAATACTCTTACCCAAGATAATCGGGGGAGACAACGGCTAAAGATGGTGAATTGTATGGGGTAGCGCTGAACGGAGGCAAGGTATTTGTGAAAATGTTGCTGCGAATTTTATGAATCGGTGGTTAGGCCTTTCAAGATGTGTTTTTGACGTTACGCCTGTGTGCGTGTGAGACTGGTGGAGTGTCTTGATATTATTTTGGAAAAGTTGGGGAAAATTTCCCCTTCGGGCGAATGAGCTGCTCGAAACGTTTTTGGAAATAGGGAAAACTGTGCACTTGCCCAGCAGGGTAAAGTGGATAAGGGTTTGCCTCGCAGGTTTTCCCGGGAAGGTACATTCCCCTTAAAGAGACGTTGCGAAAACCCATACCTATATGTGTATTTTAAAGATTTTAGGACACAGGTAAGGTTTTTTTCCCTGGCAGGGGGCGTACGTGTCGATTTGTGGGGTATGACCACATAGCGGCGGATGCGAAAAGAACGAGCGTGACCAAACCTGTGCAAAAAAGGGGTTTTGCCCCAGTCACACGTGATAAAGGTGAGCATCGTTGTCAAGGAAGGGCGTGGTGTTTGTGGAGTGAGATGGGGACCAGGCTTTTCGAAATGAGAGCGAGTCCCCCCCTCAGCCCCCTGCACCTGAGTCGTTGCCGACCCCATTGCTGGATTGGCCCCCGGCATGAGGTTGAGTATAGGTGAGGATTTAGAGAATTTTTTAAGGACTTGTCACCAAAAGTGGGGAAGCTCCGCTGGGAAAAAGACGTGGGGGAGATTTTTTGAGCGGATTGTAACAATATGGGATCGGCAGAAGGCGCGAGATGGGACAGGGGAGCTTCATACCTATTGTGAGGTGGATGTTGAGGTACACCGTGAGGCTTCCTCGGATCTTGACTGGAGGAAAAGAACTTACGGGAAACGGGCAGCTACGTCAGATTGGATGAGTCTGACGCCGGCACAGAGGACTGGAAAAAAAACTGGAGGATGGGGGGGGGGGGGGGGGTCTGAGGGCCCCATGCAAGAAGGGGGGCAAATGGGAAGGTACGTAAAGAAGACACAAGACATAACAAATAAAAGTGGTGAACCTGGGAGGAGAAGGGGAAAAAGGGTGGAAAATTTTAACAGGCCTAGGGTATGACTGCTAATGTTAACGGTTTTTGTATAGACTAAAGAGAGATTGGTTGAGCAGTTTTCTTAGAAACATAGAATTTTTGTTCTGTTCCTTCAAAAGCACAATTTCAAAAAGGAGAAGTGTTGCAGGTTGCAGGTTATCAGTCTGCCCTGCCAACTATCCCTTTTAAAGGTGGGTGGGTCTTTTAATAAAAAAGCGAGCCCTTTGTGTTGCAGAGATGTGAGGGGGGTGGGGGGGGGTGTTGGGAGTGGATGGGCTTGGGTGGGAAAAAGTGTATCTTTTTGGGAAACGTCTATGCCCCCGCGGAAAATGACACGAAAGGGTTTGAACGGATTTTGTGTGTGAGGCCTTGTCTATTTTTTTCGTGGTCTTCCGGAAATGCGATAGTGGGAGGTGACGGAACTGTGTCATAAGGGCGGTGAGTCGAACCCCCGGGGCGGGGATGTGTCTGCCCTCTCAGAGATTTGTTGGGGGTGTTAATTTGAGATGGTTTGGGGGGGGGTGTGGGAAAAAGAAAAAACTTTTACAGAAGGGGGTTTGCTGCAAGGTTAGACAGAGTGTATATTTCGCAGGGAAAAAGTTTTTAAAGTCTTTTAATACGGTGGAGACGGTCTTGTCGATCAAGGGTTGTTGTAGTGGAGTTTGGGTGGGGGGGATTGGCGGAAATTTATAAAGAATTATTGGAAATTAATATTGTGTGTTAGGATGAGGAAAGGGGTTTGAGGGTTTTTCTTGCATGGAATGAGCTTTCAGGGGAAGCTCAGGAGGTGGGGACATTGTAAGTGGGGGACTCGGGGGGCAAAGGAAAGGATAAATCCTTTTACGTGAGGGGGGTAGGGATAAAAATTTAAAATATGGGGGTAGCGAATTTTTTAGGGATCGATTAGAAATTGTTAGGGGGAGGATCGGTTGGTGGGTTTACCCCTGGACGGTTGTAGACATAAAGAGAGCTTTTCGAAATTGCATAATGAGCGGTTTTAAGCGGGGGGGGCAACAGGATTAGAAAGAATTTTTGGGGGGGCAGGCCATCCGGTGGTGTTGAGACAACAAAAACCAAAGCAGGCGCTGACGGCAATCCCGAGTTTGGGGGTAAATGAGCGATGGGAATCCATAGAGCAGGTCAAGTGTACGAAACCAAAAAACTATGAGTGATATGCGGTAGTGGGATAAAAAACATGGACTGTAGTGGGGTGATGAAGGAATTAAGTAAAATTTCAATATGCTAAATGCATTTTGGGTCACAGTGATAGGAAGGCTTTGGGGGGGGTTTTTACGAGGAGGGAAATTTTAAATTGCTTTACACGGAATGAGGAAGGGCAAGGCCCCGGGTATTGATGGGTTTTCCGGTGGAATTTTATTTGCGCATTGGGAGTTGATTGGGAAGTTTATGGGAAAATTATTTAAAAAGTATGAAGGGAAGGGTACGTTAGGGGGGAAAGCAGGGGAATACGGCGTTGTGGTGTTGGTCCCCAAAGGCAAAGGGCACCAAACCTTGGGGAAGTATGGGCGAATCGTTGTCT